CGCCGCGTCCCGTTCCTGCCACGCATCTCGCATCGTCGACGACAGGACAGGCCATGCGGAGAGAACAAATACGATTTTGTATTGATTTTTTACATTTCGGATGGGAGGGCCCAGATTAACGGCCGCACGCGATGTGCGTCGCGTCCTATTCCTGCTTTGCATTTCGCATCGCCGACGACAAGACAGGCCATGCTGAGAGAAAGCGGAGATGTTGTATTTATTTTTATTCAATTAGGATGGGAGGGCCCGGATTGACGGCCGCGCGCGCTGTGCGCCGCGTCCCATTCCTGCTACGCGTTTCGCATCGTCGACGGCAAGAAGGGCCACGTTGAGAGAAACAACGACGATTTTCTTTATTTTTTTGCAGTCACGATGGGAGGGCTCGGATGGAACCGATATCGGCCGGCCGGAGAGGGGAGTAATAATACATATTAGTAAGGAATAGGGATCGGAGGAGGAGGAGGAAACGGAGGAGGAGGAGCAGGAGGAGGAGGAGGCGGAGGAGGAGGAATACAAATTATAACACTTATAAGAAGAAGAGGAGGAGGTGGAGGAGGAAGAGAAGGGAAAGGAACAGGAACAGCGGGACCAGCAGCAGCACGTGTGACACAAGGAGGCGGAAGAGGCGGAGAAGGAGGAGGAGGAAGAGGAGGAGGAGGAATAATCATATTAATAAGATTCGTACTAATCAACATCACATTAATAGTAATACTCGTAGTAGAAGTAAGAATACAGTATGAAGAAGAATACCACTAAGAAGAAACATGCCAATACTAAAAAGCAGAATGCTAATATGGAGATGACTAGCAAAAATAATGCCACGAATGATACTACGAATGAGAAGAATCGTGCTGCTAAGAATGCTAATAATAAGAATAGTCGTAGTAGTAGTAGTAGTAGTAGTAGTAGTAGTAGTAGTAGTAGTAGTAGTAGTCGTAGTAGTAGTAGTAGTAGTAGTAGTAGTAGTAGTAGTAGGTAGTAGTAGTAGTTAGTAGTAGTAGTAGTAGTAGTAGTAGTAGTAGTAGTAGTTAGTAGTATAGTAGTAGTAGTAGTAGTAGTAGTAGTGTAGTAGTAGTAGTAGTAGTAGTAGTAGTAGTAGTAGTAAGTATAGTAGTAGTAGTAGTAGTAGTAGTGGTGGTATAAGTAGTAGTAAATATAATACTAAATAATAACGAAAATACGAACTAATACTAATACTAATACTAGTACTAATACTAATACTAATACTAATAATACTCATGATACGAATAATACTAATGATAATAATACTAATAATAATCATAATAATAAAAATAAAAATTTTAATAATATTAATAATAATAATAATGATGATAATAATATGAGGATGAGGAAAGGGAAGGCCGTTTGCGGGAACCCATCCCCCGCGCGCGGGGGGCACGGCCTTAGCCAGCCGGCCGCTGGCCGCCCCGCGGCACGGCCGGCGCCGCATCACCGTGAAATACTGCATGCGTGCGTCCCACTTGGAGACGCCCGCAACCATTCCGAGACCCAGCGCGAATCGGTTCCCAAAGGGATGGGATAGGTCGTCCGTCATGGACGACATGGACGTCCGACATGGACGGACATGGACGACTGTTGCTCCAAGGAAGGTGAATGCCTGCAGCCACGGACTCTGGAACGAGAAGGACAACATTGGCAGCCACAGTTCTGAGACCAACGTACACACCGTCCCCCAGACCGTCAGCACTCAGAGCAAGGATGCCCCATTGTTTACCCCGATTACTACGGGTACAGCGACCACTACGGCCACAGCTGCCACGAGTACAATTGCGACCGGCAGCACGGCTACAGTTACGATATCTACAACTTCAAGCACTACACATACGCGCAAAAGGAATGCCACAAGAGGCTGGGCTCTGTCAATTGTTTTTTTTTTTTTTTTTTTTTTTTGTTTTTTTTTTTTTGTTGTTGTTTTTTTTTGTTGTTGAAAAACAAGTTGGCTAGCACTTGGTCGATAGCATCCTACGCAGGACACCAGCCGAACATCAAAGGCCACAAGCGGAGCTACGAGAGGCACCAGCCGAGCTGCGAGGGTTACAGGCTGAGTTACCAGGGCCACAGGCAGAGCCCCGAGAGGTACTAGCAGGGCTACGAGGGCCACCTGCTGAGCTACACGAGAACCACCAGGTGAGTTGCGCACGCAACTAGTTTAGGTACGAGGGCCACAAGCGGAGCTACAAGAACCACCGGCCAGGCCACACGCAAAATAAGAGATCCTCCAGCTGAGGTGCAAGGGCCGCCTGCTGATCTGCGAGGACCACGTGCTAACCGGAGACGGCCACCTGAGCCCACAGGACAGCAAACAGAGCTCCGAGGGCCACGCGCTGAGCTACGAGAGACCAGGGCGAAGCAACGAAGGCCACAAGCAGAGCTACGAGACCCACCGGCTCAGCTCCCAGGACCACCTGCTAATCCACGATGACCCCCTGCTGACCTTCGAAGGCCACCAGCTGAGCTACGAGGGCCACGAGCAGCGCGAGGGCCGTCAGCTAAGCTGCGGGGGCCAGGTGAACGTCGAGGGCCACACGGAGGGCGACGAAGACCGAAAGGTGAGCTACGAGGGCCACCATCTGAACTATTAGGGCCACGAGCTGAGCCACTTGGGCCACCAGTTGAGCGACGATGTCAACCAGCTGCGCTACGAGCGCTACAAATGCCACCGGTTGAGCTAACAGGGTCACCTGTTCAGCTAGTCGAGCCACCACCAGCCCTACGATGGCAACCTGAGCGGCGAGGGCAAAGAGCTAGGTTTAGAGCAGGGACACAAGCTGAGCTACTCTGGCTTCTTGCCGAGTTACAAGAGCCACCAGCTCAGCTACGAGGGCCATCTGCTGATCTACGAGGACCATAGGCTGACCTACGAGGGCCGCAAAGCTTTCTTCCAAGGCAGTAGTCAGATCTCCGAGGGCCACCAGTTGAGGTACGAGTGCCTCCAGCGGAGCTACAAGTTCCACTCAGCTGAACTGGGAATTCCATCAGTGGAGCGACGATAGTCACAAGTTACGCGACGAGTGCCACTTGCTGAGCTACGAGAACGACCAGCCGAGGTCCCGAGGCCACCTGCTGAGCTTCAAGAGCCACCATCAGAGCTACAGGGCCGCCAGCGGAGCTGCGAGTGCCACAAGCGCAGCTACGAGAGCCACATGCAGGGCAACGACGACAACCAGCTGAGCTACCAGTGCCACAAGCTGAGCAACCAGGGCCACGAGCTGAGCCGATGTGGCCACCAGCTGAGCTACGAGGGCCGCCTGCTGAGCTACGAGGCACACTGTAGCCACCAGCTGAGCTCCCAGAGCAATTTGCTGGGTTACGGGAGCCACCACTAGAGCTATGAGGACTACTTGCTGAGTTACCAGGTCTACAGATGAACTGCGAGAGCTGCAAGCTGAACTACTTCGGCCACAGGCAAAGGTACGAGGGCCACAGGCAGAGCTGCGAGGGCCACAAACAGAACTTCAGGGACCACCTCTTGCTACGAAGGCAACCTGTTGAGTTACAGCGGCCACCAGAAGAGCTTCTCCGTCGCGATCCGTGTGATGATGTGGAGGCTGCGACAGTCAGAGATATCGCAAATACCAACAGGGACACATGGGACATAGAACGCCAGCTGCGGGCTCGTACCAGCGAGGCCGTCTACGGGGCGGTCCGCATTTCCTACGGCGAGCGCCAGAAGCGCATCGCCATAGCGCACCCTGGATGAGAGCCTTGACTGCGGCCCTACAGGAGTTACTTCGGCGCGGCGGGTCAGTCTGATGCCGGGCACATAGATACTATGGCTCTCACTTTTTGTTCAGATCTCGGCTAGTTATTTCGACGAGTAGAACAGAAGGTTCGACAGGCCTGCCTGAAACCAACAGACGACGGACCAGCGCCAGACCAGCGCCTACGCCAATGCGAGCGACGGTGGCCAGGCCACCGGCAACAACTACAGCTCGAAGACCTACCACTGGGCATCTCTGGCGCAGTCGGAAGCAAGCCTGGCGACCCCTTGCGAGCGACGCTGCTGTGGGCTGGCTGGGTGCTGCCACCCTTTCCTCCTTCCTTCCGTGATCCTCTCGCGGCTTCTGGGGCCGTCCTGGGCGGTCGGGAACGGGGACACGCCCCGCTACGCGATGCGGAGGGTGAACGACCTCCCTTACCTCCTCCTCATCCCCCTCCCCCTCCTCCTCCTCCTTCTCCTCCTCCGCCTCCTCCTCCTCCTCCTCGTCCTCCTCCCTCCTCCTCCTCCTCCTCCTCCTCCTCCTCCTCCTCCTCCTCCTCCTCCTCCTTCTCTCCCTCCTCCGTCGCGACCAGTACACCTCTTCCCACCTTCCCCAAATCTGGAACAGCCGAGCCCCAGCGCGGGCTTGGCTCTCCTCGGGCCCGTTGGCACGGCGTGGGTAGGTGGATGAACAGGGGGCAGGGATGGCAATTTTCGGGCCGCGCGCAACAGGAGGAAGGGGAGGATGATGTGGAGGAGGAGGAGGAGGAGGAGGAGGAGGACGAGGAGGACGAGGAGGAAGAGGAGGAGGAGGAGGAGGAGGAGGAGGAGGAGGAGGAGGAGGAGGAGGAGGAGGAGGAGGAGGAGGAGGAGTGCGAAAGGACGCCGCGGCAAGGCTCAAGTCTCGAGCTTCGCCTGCCCATCCTGCGGCTGCAAGAAGAGCAGCGTCAATGCCTCGCACTGCAAGCACTGTGCTCACCCTCTCCCTCGGATGTTTCATGGTGATGGGCCGCCTGCTGGAGGTCGCTGGGCCGCGGCAGGCCCCCCTGGCTTCTGGTGCGGGAACGGCTTCAGCGGCAAGGGGCCCGTCTTCCAGAACTTCGGGGGCAAAGGAGGAGGCCGAGGGCCCAGTGGCAAAGTCAAAGGTAAGGGCTACTATGGCGGCGACCAGACGATGTGGGATGTGCTGGCCCGTCAAGGAGATGCGCGTGCTGGAGGAGCAGGAGGAGGCACTCCTCCACTTCCTGTGGGACCAGTGCCTGCCATCACAGCGTCCGAGGCCAAGGCCTTAGGCGAATCGCTCCAGAAGGCGGGAGATGTCGGAGCGGCGGCCAAGTACCTGGACATGGCAAAGCATCTGGAAGCGGCAGCGAAGCCCGTGGTTGTCTCGGACCACACGAGGATGCAGCAGGCCCACTCCATGGTGCGCAAGCTGGAGAAGCAGATGGAGCAGCAGCTGGGCCGAGTCACGCGTCTTCGGGAACAACTCGTCGAAGCGGAAGCTTCGCTACGTTCGCTTCGGGATCATCTCGACCAGGCGGACTTGGACTACAAGGAGACGCTGGCGGCCCTGCAAGGGCCCCCTCAGCCTGCTGAGGGGCGGACTCATTCTATTTCTTTCAAGCTCGAAGGTCTGGTGGCAGGCGATGTGGATTTCGCCAAGCTCATCGACTGCAGCCACATGCTGGAGGATCTCACGACGGACAACGACGTGGACGCGGCTGACATCGAGCAGTTCCAGAAACGGAAGGAGGACCTTTCCTCTGGGGTCACCAAGTTGGCCAGGGACCTCTTCGCCCAGGTCGCTTCGCATGCCAGGGCTCTTCGTGAACAGCATGAAGCTCATCGGCTTCGAGTGGTGGCAAAAAAGCGGAAGACCACGGAGGGTGAAGTTGTCGGAGGTTCTCCTGGCGATGCTGCTGCCGCGGCTGGAGCTGGAGCAGGGGCGCCTTCTGAAGGTGCCAAGGTCGCTGCGTCAGCTGCGGGGACGGCTGAGGCTGTCCAGGCCTCGGCTGCACCGCAAGAGGACATTCGAGCCAAGGTCGACCAGGCTCTCAAGGACTCTGAGCCCCCTGCTGCGTCTTAGAGGTGGCGGGGGGCAGGAATCTGAGGGTGGGGGCCCAGACTTGAAACCCTCCTGGGACCTTTTTAACTTTTTAGCCTCGAGAGTGTCTGTGATAGGCTCCAGGTCTCAGGCCTCTGGGGTTCGACTCTCCAAGCGTTTGCGGTTTTGGTTAGGGATTTGCGATATCGGGGTCTCGTTCGACGCCCCGCTCCCCTGTGCTGAAATTCGGGTGCCCCCAGACAGCCCAGGAGCCTCTCGCATTTCCTCTCTGCCTCTGCCTGGAGCGGTCGGGAAGCAGTATTGCGTGAAGGCTGGTGAAGCTCGAGAAGGTTCTCCAGTCGCACGATTGCCGCAATCCGATGCCCTTTTTCCTGGTGCTAGCTCCGCCAGGGCCTGGTCCTGCATGAGGCCCGTCTCTGATGACGAACGGCTTCCAGTGACCTCAGCCCCCGCGCCAGCTGCCCAGGGTGCTGCCGACGGCTGCATCAGGCTTGACGAGGGTCTTCTGGTGACTACTGTGAACGCCAATTCCTGGGGCACTCTCAAGAACTTTCTATCCTCGGCCAGGTCGCATGTGGTTATTGCTCAGGAACATCGGCTTAAAAATCCTAGTGCTCTGGACCAAGCTTCGAAGTCGTCAAAGTTTCTGGGGTGGAAAACGCTGTGGGCGTCAGGCCTGCCTGGTGAGGGAGGAGGAGTATCTTCGGGAGTTTGCGTCTGTGTTCGAGATGGCCTAGGGCTTTTTTCGAAGCTGCTGGGAATACTGTTCTCGTTCCTGGTCGTGCTGTTGCCACCGTGGTTCATGTACCAGGGTGTGCTCCGTTTTGTGTCTGCAGCCTCTACCTCATCCACAGTGAAGGTCTCTCGGATTCCAATAGAGAAACGTTGAGGGTTGTCGGGGAATTTTTAGATTCCTTGGGTTGTGAGTTTATCGTTGGGGCCGATTGGAACATGGGTCCCGAGGTTATTGAAGCTTCTGATTTTGGCAAAAAGCTTCGGGCCAGTACGATTGTTCCTGAAGGTCACAGCCACTTCCCCAGCAGGGGCCCTCCTGATCGTTTTGATATCTTTGTGGTGTCGGAGGCCCTCAGCCTCTGTCTTAAGAGTGTTTTTGTAGAAGGTGACTCCAGCATCACTCCACATCGCCCTGTGCCGCTTCGTTTTCACAGCTCCCTGGGCGACCTTAAGGCTCTTGCCTTCCGCCGACCCCCTTCGTTGCCCGTGCTCCCTCCTGTTGGTCCTACGCCCAAGTCTGGTGACTGGAGTGCTGCGCTTGATTTGGCCGAAGAAGCGTTTGGGGCGGTCACTAACGGGGACGCGGGAAAAGCGCGCAGGCTTTTGGGCATTGGATACAAGTTTTGGGCTGATGCGGCCGAAAAAGACCTTGCCAACTCTCTGGGGGCCGAACTCAAGGTTTTGGGCACTCGTGGGAAGCGGCCCCAGGTTTACTGGAAGTCTGTGCTCCGCCCAGCGGGGCGGGAACAAGACCCTGGATTACGGTCTATTTCCTGGCTGTGTAATCAGCTGCGTGCAGTTAGGTGCTATCTCTCGGATCCGGTCTTGCAGGAGGCTGGGCGACAGGTGCTCAACTCGATCCTCCAGCCTCCGTCGGCCGCGGCGGTGCTGGAGAGCTCTGAGTTCCACTCGCTCTTCAAGGCCAGTGCGGCCTTAGCTAGATGCGCCTTTTCACCTGTGCTGGATCCTGAGCTCGGCTCTGATCTGGACGACCTGATCGATCAGGTTGCTCAAGCCGTCGCCGCTGCTAAGGTCACCGCTGCGAATGCTTCGCGGCTTGAGTGGCAAGAGTCGGTGCGTACGGGTATTGATGCTGGTGGTCGCAACGCTCAGAGGGCCATCGAAGACCCTGAACCCTGGAAACCCTCCACCACCTTAGCCAGATGTGGCACCATAGTTTGCGACCCAGTGTCTTTGCTGCAGGCCGAAGGCGACAAGTTTGCGGCTATTTGGGGCACTGGCAAAGGCATCGGTGTGGACCATGACCTTTTGCCCCATGGGCGAATTTTAGAGCCTGCCGAGCTCCGAGCTGTGTCCAAAAAGTATCGTACCACCTCTGCTGTGAGCGTTGACGGTTTCCACTGTCGACATTTTAGCCTTCTCCCCGATGAGGCTTTGCATGCCCTGGCCCTGTGGTTTGCTGTTTGGGAAGCTACTGGTGAGCTGCCCAAGCAGCTCTCGTGGGTGCTTATGGACTTGTTGGCCAAGCCGACGGGTGGGTTCAGACCCATCGGGTTTTTTCCGAGCCTGTACCGCCTTTGGGGTCGTGCCCGTCGTCAGGAGGCTCTCCAGTGGGAGCTCGCCTACCCCAGGAAGTACTGGGCTGCTGGGGCCAACAGGGGAGCGGGGGACGTTGTCTGGAGGCAAGCTTTCAGGGCCGAAGCGGGTACTCGCAAGAGAGAAGTGTCGGCTTCCATTTTCTGGGATCTCAGGAAGTAATATGAGCACATCGACCTGAGGTACCTTTGACAGCAGTGCGAGCATTTCCATTTCCCGTTGCCTCTTGCGAGACTGGCCATCAGGGCGTATTCGAGTGCGCGCTTTCTGGCCCTTGGGGGCATCATCCAGGGCCCGTATTTTGTTTCCAAGGGATTAGTGGCGGGTTGCTCTTTCGCGACCAGCCTCATTCGTGTTTTTGCCATGCAGGCCTTTGATGAGGCCCTCGTTTCGATTCCCAAGGGCCCAGGAGCCACGACTGGCTTCGACGCCTACGTCGATGACCTTAGTCTCAGCTGCACGGGACCTGCTAAGGTTGTAGTTGCCAGCCTCACGGCGGGAGCCAATGCGCTCCACCGAGCCATCACGGCGACGCTCGAGTGCAAATTGGCCATGGACAAAGTTGGGATGATCAGCGACTCCCCTGATGTTTCCAGAAAGCTCACGGAGACCCTGGGACCTCTTGTTGGACCAGCCTGCTCGCGGGTTACCAATCTGGGTTCGGATTTCACTGCGGGTAGGCCTGTTCGTTCCAAAGGGCGCTCGGCCACATTGAAATCTAGAGCTGCGGCTGCGTTGAGGAAGACCAACAAACTCAAGGGCCTCCAGCAGGTCCTTGGCCGCAAGTGCTTGAAGGTCTTCGCGGCGGGTCCGTTGGCTGGAGCTGTGTGCGGCTCTGACTTGTTTGGGATTTCGGACAGGGAGCTTCTTAATCTCAGAAGGATGGCCATGTCGACGGTTAGACCTAGAGCCCAGGGTAGGTCCCTCAGCGTCTTGTGTCTTCTCTCGGATGACCCTGCGTGGAGGGGCTGTTGTGCGCCTGTCACCCGCTGGGCCAAGGAGGTCTGGACCCTGCACACTCATGGGTTTCCCTGGACGTTGAGCTGGGCCGAACTCAGGGACGGCTGGAGTGCCGTCTTCGGGTCGGATGACCACTCTTGGTCCAAAGTGGCAGGGCCTATTTCTGCCCTGCGCATGTCCTTGTACAGGCTGGGCTGGACCGTGCCCAATTTTTGCACCTTTATGGATGATTTTGGCCGTGAAATCTCCTTGGCCCTGTCGTCCCCTAAGCTTGTTAAGCTTTTCTGTAAGGAAGCCCATTTTCGGGGTCTTGAAAGGGAGTCGGGGGATACATACGGTTGTGGTTTCAGGCTTTGTTGGGACGTGGTCAAGCAGCTTATGTCTTCCAAGAAGGTTTCTAGCAAAACCAGAGGTTGGATTCGAGCTCAGGCCATGAGAGCTTGCTGGACGGCAAGTGATGTGGCAGCGGCAGGGTACGACTTTTCTGACAAGTGCGCGTTGTGCGGTAAGGACCGCGACACCCTCTTCCACAGGCTCTTCGTGTGCCCGTCTGTGCAGTCTGTGAGGGAAGCGGTGCTCGACAAAAGTATTCAGAATGAAGCGTTGGAGCTAGGTGCAGATCATGTCGACATGTGTCTGTACTTGTATGGTGCCTTCAAACATCCTGGAGACTATGCCCCACCGCCACTCACAGAAGGAGGTACCAGCCTGGAATGGTTTGTTGATGCGCTTCCTGACCCTGGGGACCTTGCTGCTGCTCCCTCTATCCCTCCCTCCGTGGGGCTCTGGGGGCACCTCTTTATGGATGGCTCGTGCCATCGTCACGTAGTGCGTGAACTTTCTAGGGCTGGCTGGGCTGTTGTCATGGTCTCGTGTTCGGGTGAGCGCCTCGGGGTTTTGAAAGGTCCTCTGTGGGCCCCGTGGCCTCAGACGCCCCAGGGTGCCGAGTTTGGGGCCCTGGCCTGGACCGCTGTGCAAACTGAAGGCCCAGCCTTGTGTTATTCTGATTGTGCTAATGTGGTCCATTTAATGAATCTAGGAGCTGCAGACAGCGTCAGCGCCAGGCGTCAGTACGCTGGCCAGGTCATTCAAGCTAGACATTACTTTGGCACCAACCTAATCTCCTTAGATAAGGTTGAGGCCCACAAAGATGCTGACGAGGATGGGCTCTCCTCGCATGAGAGATTCGTGCGAAGAGGGAACTTCTTCGCTGACGTCTATGCGAAGGAGGGTGCGAAGCAGCACCCTGCCATGTCCCCGACGGAGCAGGAAGCCCTCGATCATCAGATTCTTGTGTCAAGGGCGATCTTGTTTGCGGGAGCGGAGCTCTTGCCACTTTGGCCGAAGTTGGAGTTTCGAGGTCTGTTGCGCTTCCATCCGCCGCCCGACTCGAAGGCTCCCCTTTTAGAGCTCGTCCACGACTGGTCCCAACAAGGTTCCTCCTGGCGGTGCCGTGTGTGCCTTCGCGGTTCCCGTGCGAAGGCTAAGCCGCTGGGAGGAACGTGCCCTGGGCAATCCCGTTTGGACCAGGGACTGTTGGAGAGATTCGGCCATCGAGTCATTGCCTTCCCTTGCAGTGACAAGGGTCACCTGTACTTGTGCATGTCGTGCAAGTTTTATTCTAGCGGTGAAAAGGTCCTGGGTTTGTCCCGTAAGTGCGGGCCACCCACGGAGACAGGTTTCAGAAACTTGAGACGGCTCCGTAAAGGACTGCACCCCGATAA